TCTCAAAAAATACCTTTACATCATTTTTCCGATTATTTTTTCAGCTCGTAACGATAGAATCAGTCAATTTAGAACTAACATGTATGCTATCGGAAAGCATTTTGGCACAATATTACTGAAAAAACAAGTTTTTCATTGCTCATGAATATTAATTTCATGCAAATGAGGCGATTATTTCAACCAATCGTGTCATGCAACTCCCCCCCTGGTTCAGGGTAGAACGACGGAATTAAGCTTACCAAATACAAATGGTGATGAGGTGCTTTTCTGACTGCTTGGTACGATACTGCTAGAAGTGGTGGTAGCTTGAAATCCTGCAGCTGTACTCTCTCCTGATGGCGCACCAAACATGTTGGCTACCTTAGGAACAGCATCTGTTAAACCAAGTTGAAATTTGATGTTACTGAAATAAAGTTTACACATACACAGCTGTTTTCCAAATCTAAATCAAAGCCAAAGGGTCGCACTACAACATCGAAAATCTCTTTCGTGTTGCACTCAACATGAAACATTTAAATGTAAAAGCTATGTAATTCAAATATGTTGGCACCATCCAGCATTTTGATTACCAACAAAATTAAAAAAATAAATGCATATTACATTAAATATACTGAGTATTTTGAACAGTTTGTTAATTGACTAATTTTTCAACCAAGAACCAAATAAAGACCTTTCACCATTCCCCAGACTCTAAATTAGATGAGGCCTATTCAAGAGTTTTTACGGTAACTAAATCAATCATGTATAAATAAAGAGAATCCACTGATATTTCATCCATGGTAGTTCACTTACCAGATTTATTCTTGTGTTCAGTCTTAACGGCTGTGAAGTTAAATCCACCAGCACCAGTAGCAATGGGCTGTACTGCAGTTTGGTTACTCTGTGTACTACCAGCATTGAATACAAACCCTGTAAATCAAAGCAAAGACATGGTCACTGACCTGATACAGGTGGTTAATGTGAAAAGATTCGTGCGGACAGAATGAGGACAGCAACTCTATTTTTTTACTCACCAGCTGATGGCGTAATTGTAACATTTGGAGGAGCATCATTGACTTTGCTATTAACACCTAGAGAAAGAGCAATTAAATCATTGAGCTCCAATCATTTCCTTAAAGTAGTCTATAAAAGGAATACTGAGTTTCAACTCAAGTGATGATTACAATACATCCAAGTCTGAGATGTAATTTACTATAACATATCTCAGGAGGATTACATTGAGTATGTGCAGTTTGAACCATTCTTCAACTAAATTGGTTCGATGCCAAAAATGCTCCAGCATTATAGAGGGGTATTTTCAATTGTTTTTATTTTTGTAATAATGACATTATGTCATTTATATAAATAAAAACCATAAATTCATTGACATGGGCAAGGTGTAAAATGTAATCATCTATTTAATTGTCCGTAATTTATACAAAGATCTTATTTTTTGTAAGCGTAAAAGGCATTTTCCAAATTAAATGTTGTAATTCATACGCAATTTCCAATTTTGATTCTTAAAAACAAAAATATTATAAAAATGTAAAATGTAATTAGGAATTTGCTTTATCTGGAAAGTGTAAAAACTTATTTTTTACTGTAAATGGAACTTTCATTTTATTTCCTGTAAAAACGTAAAATGCTGTTTTTATTTTCTGTAACCTGTATCAGCTACCTCCCTCATTATACATTGTCAAACAAAACTCTGAAGCCACAAAATAATGCTAATCTTCACCCATGCCAATTATTATACTTAAAGAAATAAATAACTACCGTAAAATCTGTATTAGAAGCTGCATCCCTTATAGAAGTCGCACCCATTCGTTTTGAATAATTGAGAACCAAACATTCACAATTTCTCATATGTGTAGATGCTCTAATAGAAGCTGCATCCCTTCTGATTGCATTGTACCATTTTAATAGAAGCTGCGGTTTCTAATACAGATTTTACAGTATTTAGGTAAAACATTTGTAGACTAGGCAAGGCAAGCCAGACACTCAGATGTCATCAAACCTGAATATACAGTGTAAGGTTTATTATTTTGAAGTAAATTTGAAAAGTTGGCAAAACAATGAAATCAAATGCTTAACTCCACAATTACCTTCTTTTTAGTTTTGATGCAGTTAGCAAAATCAAACCAGTCAACAATTAAACCTTTTTGTATGGAAACTCTGAAAAGACTACGTAAATAAAAAAACAAAAACAAGAAAGAATATACAAATTAGTGGATAAAATCCTACCAGATGGGAGTGGTTTGCCGAAACCAAACGCTGGTTTTACTTCGTGACTTGCAGGAGTTTCTTCCTTTTTGATATTTTGCCCAGCCACAGATACACTGCCAGACTGAGGAGGTACAACACCAAAGTTGACTGCAGGAGCCACAGATACACTGCCAGACTGAGGAGGTACAACACCAAAGTTGACTGCAGGAGCCACAGACTGTTTACTTGTTGCAGCACCGGCATCAAATTTGAATCCTCTAGTTTCCACCTTGCCAACTTTCACATCAACAGCCCCGCCCACATCAAGCTTTTTGTCTTGAGACTTGCTTCCTGACACATTATGGGCAAAGCTGAAACCAGTTGATTCATTGGTCTTCTGTACCCCAAAGGCAAAAGTAGTTACAGCTGGAATAGGCTCAGTTTTTTGTGACGTAAATGATGATTTAAAGGTATCACTTCCTGGTTTCGCAACAGAATCTTTGCCAGTGACAGTTCCTAGTGTAATGCTTGGCTTTGCAATGTCTGACTGTTTAAAACCCAACAATTTGGAGCTGTCTGAAGGTGCATCAGATTTTGTTTCTGAAGCCTTTGCAATCTTTGTAGCTAACCCAGCTAAGGGTGTAGTGACTGGAGCTGGAAAAAAAATATAACTTTTCTTAGTATAAACTGGATACAAGTAAGGGACATGAGTTCGCTTTATTTATATAATTTTTACATTATAGGGAGTGTCTGTATGCACAAGAGGGGAGATAAATTAACACTATAGCACAACAAGGTTAAAAAGAAATGTCAAACTGAAAGACACATCAGAGGGATGGACAGCACATGGAGAGATTCTTACCTTTTGGTGGACTACTGAGTGTGGGTTGAGTGCCTGGTTTAGGTGCTTGACATGCCACACATTTATGATCAGTTGTTTTGTTCTGAACCATGCACGTATCACATTCCCACACCTCAGCGCTGACTTTGTACTTATCAAAACCAACATTGTTAGCACCAAATTTAAACTGCACAAATAAAAAAAATAAAAAATCATTAGACTGACAAAATTTCATTTAAAAAAAATTGAAATCTTGGTAGACTTCATTATTTACATACAATGCAGTACCACCCAAAAATCAATGGTATGTTATTTTATACCATAAACCAGTCAATCTAATAGCATGAGTTAGCTGCAAAACTTGAAATACAACTGTCTACAACTGTCAATGTTCAGAGTGGAGGTGTCTACTACTCTAACCAGCTGAGACAAAGATTCTACATGCAGAATATCTTGGAAATCATGAATAATATAACAAGGTTTGATTACTCAGCACAAATGAAAAATTCTTAACAAAAACACCAACAGACAAACTCGCGCTTACAACTTGCACTTTAGTCACATTACGAGAAAGGCAAACATGGACAAAATTAGCATTCCATGGCAACCTGTCTAAAAAAATTCAGGTCATAATCGAGTCACAGTACAAAAAGTACAGGCAAGGCAAGAAATATTCATGTCCAGTTGGGATTATGTGTGACAGACAAGGGTGAATACAATATATCTTACTTCTGTTTTAGTAGAGTCTTTCGTATTTGCTTTATCATTACCATTTTGACCAATTGTA